TGTGACCAAGATTACAGATATCTGGATCCAACCGATAATCTTAACATTAACCGATACAGATCTAGTTTTTTCAAAATTGTCGTCCGTGGGATTTGAACTCTAAATCTGCCGTTTGGGAGTGCAACAACTCCACCACTTCACTAAGTCACCACACCCTAATTATATATAATTTGTTATACTATATAAATAAATTTTAAATAATAATTAGATTTAATTTATTTAATAAAAAATTAAACTTTAATATATAGTTATTATAATAACTTAATTTTAAAAATTACTATTTTTGTATTTGTATAATATTATACAAATTACATATTTTAATTATTTTAAAAATACTATATAGAGAAAATAAAACTATAAACTAAAAAAAAACTCATTCTGTAGATTCTTAGTACAGAAAATTTCCCAAAACTGTCTAACAAAAAAGTTCATTTTTACAATATTTTATTAATATAACTTAATTTTTTGCTCTAACAAAACTTGCTCCTCATTTAAATTTACATATAATATAAAAATTTTAAAAGAAACAGACTCAAATTCTTAAAGTTACGGCCTTTTAGGCCAAATAGTCTTCTTTCGATGTTTATGCTTAAACTAGAGTTTTAACCTCTGTTCAAAATTAAGAACAAATTATTCTACACATTTTTTTTTTCAAAACAAGCTATAATAGACCTCTATAGCTCCAATATTGACCAAGTTATAAGCAAAGCAACTTTCAACTCTATTTACTTTTTCTCTTTTCTTTTACTTGGGAAATTTCTTTTTTTTCCAAAAATTAGAGCCATTTTTTGTATAACTAAGGTCATTCCAGCTGTGCTACCCACGTTCTACAATGCTATAAAACTAGTGATGCTCCTTAAATCACACTAAAATTATATCATTTTAACTAATATTGCAAATCTTAATATCTGTATTTTTTGTAATTCCTATTTATAGACCTCTTTTAGCGATTCAGACCCTTTTTATTGGTATATATTATATTTACTCTAATATAGTAATACAAATACCTTATAAAAAAATATGTAGTACATGTATAAAATTTGAATTGTTATGATGATAGCAGATAGAAATTATTAATTCATAAATAAATATAATTAAAACTTATCAGTTATTATCACAAAGTAACAGATTTGGTCTAGGTATTATATTATAATAATGCAATATTTTATTAATATAACATTATATATTACATATACATATATTATTAACATTAATACGTAAAAATATAGTATAAAGTAAAATTTCAAAAATTGTTATTATAAAAGCGATAAATTCTCTCCAATTTCAATTGCTTACAGAATCTTTAGATTCAGATCAAATTAAATCTGAATCTGATATTGATATTGATCTATGTTATGATGAAAATCTTGTCATGTCTATTATTTCTAATTATTTAAACAATCCATCTCGAATTATAAATGTTTATCCAAAATCAAACCACTGGTACTCAAATATTTTGTTTAATTATGATAAAATTCAGTTTCATCGAACTTTGAGAATGAAACAATCAATGTTTTGGATGATTATTAATAAAATAAAAACCCATAAAATTTTTAAAAATATTTCACAAAACAAGCAAAGTCCAATAGAAAAACAGCTTGCAGTAGTTTTATATAGATTAGGTGGAAAGGCGACAATTTGGAATATTTGTTTTAAATTCAGAATTGCAAAAATTACTGTTTCATTATTCATATCTAGGGTTATTAAGGCTTTAAAAGATTTAAAAAAAGATGTTATTGTCTAGCTATGTGGTGATTATCAACAAAAGATTTATAAAGGTTTTGAGAAAATACATGGCTTTCTAAATGTAATTGGTGCATTAGATGGATCTTATATAAATTTACTCAAAGCTCCTAGTAAATTAAATAAAGATATTTACATTATACAAAAATGTTGTTATACAATTTACCTTCAAGCTATTGTAGATTATTTATAAACTATGATCTTGGCTACTCTGCATCAGTTTATGATGCTAAAGTATTTCAAAATTCTAGTTTATATCATTGCAAGAATCAGCTTTTTAATTGGTGATCCACCAGTTAACTAGAGAATCATTATAGTAAGGGCAGTGTCATTTATCACCTGATTTTTTTTTATCAGAGGCATACCCCCCTCCCCCTTCTTATTATATAT